ATTGCACTATAACTTTTTCACAAACACTCCGATTTTCCTGAAAACTTCAATATTTTACGCCGCGAGTCAAGGCGCAACTTTTGGTACCTCATTCACCAAAATCGGTTGCGAAAAACCTATTTTTGCGATTTTTAGAGCACGGAGCAACACAGAAACGTGGCGTTCGGGACGGCAGTTGACACCGGACTGGTTAGGTTAGGTTAGGTTAGGTTAGGTTAGGTTAGGTTAGGTTAGGTTAGGTTAGGTTAGGTTAGGTTAGGTTAGGTTAGGTTAGGTTAGGTTATTGTTTTTTTTTATTCTAATTCCCCCTAACATGGAGATCAGGGACTTTTTTCCATCTTTTTTATTTTTATTTCTTTATTTATATATTTTCTAATTTTTTATTTTATCTTTTTGCTTTTTTTTTTTACTTCTTTTTGACTTACATTCTATTACAGTTCTTAAATTTAGATTACACATGTCTTACATTACTACATTCATCTTTATTACTATGTCTTAATCTACTTTTATTCTTAGATTTATCTTTAGCTCTTAGTTTCTGATGCAGTTCTTATTTCTATTTTAATATACCTTACATTGTTGTCTATATATTACTTTTTTTTTATTTCTTACTATAACTTAATCTATTTTTATTTTTGCTATTTTTATGGGGCTGTTTACATTATATACCTATATATAATTTACAGTTTCCCTTTTCATACTTACACAACTATGTAATATCTTATTTATTCTTTTGTATCACCTTATTAGCTATAGTTTTATATAGTACTTTAGGAACCTACTTCTAACATATTTATTTCTTATTATTTTACATATATTTTCTTTACTAATTTTTATTGCTAATTCTATTTCTATATCATTTCTATATTTGCTGTAGACAGGACATTCTGTAATAATGTGTATTACACTTTCTTCCTTCATCGGATCACAGACACATGCCGGGCTCTCTTTGCATTTGAATCGATGCAAATATTCTGAGAACCCGCCATGTCCTGTCATCACTTGCACCGTTAGCGAGTCCATGTGTGTTTTCCTTATTATAGGATAGGCGCTTAAGGCGTCTGGGAAGAAGACTTTTGTTACAGAGGCCGTTTCGGCTTCCATGTAGAGCCGGTTCCATTTGTCAAGCGAATCTAGACGAATCTGTCTCCTGACGAATGAAGTCGGGCACTTATCGTAGTCCGATTTGCGTTTAATTTTTAATGCAGCCTCTTTCGCTAACTTGTCCGCCCTCTCGTTTCCCTCCAATCCTGCGTGTGCCTTAACCCAAAACAATTTAAGCAATTTTCCCTTTTTGTTTATTTCCGATATGTTTTTTCTAATTTTTTCCGCTAGGGGATGGAGGTAAACGCTCTGAACAAGTGTCTGGAGGGCAGATCTAGAGTCGCTGTATATGCGGCAGATCTGTGCCGGATCTTTCAGGGCATAATTTGTTGCCTCGTATATGGCCAGCAATTCTGCCTGGTAGACAGTGGTGAAGTCTTCCAACTTTAATTTTCGGGTACTTGTCTCCGCTGCGTCATTCCAAATTGATAACGCAACGCCGACTTTTCCCCTCGATCTTGCTCCCGTCTGTAAATATTTTTAAACCTTCATTGTTATGTTGGTCGACTTGTGCACCATCCTCCAGGCATGTGAACTGCAGCCCAACTTGATACGCGGGGTGAGGTGTCTTTACGTACTCTACTTTTCGTTCCACGTCCCGATCTCCCACTACTCGCTGGGAATGACCTTTCTTTATTTCATAAAATAAGGCTGCTTTCCGGACTCTTAGGTCCAAGGGAAGCAACCCAGCGAGCAGTAGGGCAGAGTGCAGTGATACGGTTTTATAAGACTTTATTATTTTTTGAACGAACCCGCGTTGTACCGTGTCGAGCTGCTTTTTTACTTTTTGTTTATATGTTGCCGGCGCCCATACGCTTGCCGCATACAATATGATCGGCTCCGTTACTGCCACATAAATGGTCCTGATTATCTCCGGGTTCAAGCCCCAACTAATTCTTGCAGCTCTTGTCAATTGACAGTACAGTCTTTGTGCCTTGCAACACACATTTTTCACATGTGTGTTGAAGGTCAGCCTATCGTCTATAGTGAGCCCAAGAATTTTCATTTCCCTGGACAATTCTATGTTCTCCCCGCCCATTTTCAGAAGTGGTGAGTCATACTTTACCTTTTTTGTTATCACCATAGCTTTCGTTTTGTGTGGTGCGAATTTGAGCTTGTTTTGGACTCCCCACTTCTGAACATGTGCGAGGGCTGCATTGACCCGATCCTGTACATCCAGTGACTTATCCCCGGAGAAAATCAGGACCACGTCGTCCGCGAAAGCCTGGCAATATTCCCCTTTTTCGCTTAGTTCGTGTAGTAGTGGGTCAATCAATAAATTCCAAAATATAGGACCGCTTATCGATCCCTGCACACATCCCTTTTCAGTCTTTTTCACCCATTCTGCTCCTGCGTACCTGATGCAGACTCTTCTGTCTTCAAAATAGTTATCTATAACCCGTCTTAGGTTTATCGGGCACCGATTTTCTGCCAGCCTGCATCTGATAGCCGGCCACAACGCATTATCGAAGGCTCCCTCTATGTCCAGTGACACTAGCACTATTATCTTTTTGTCCTCGAGCTTAGATTTTATGAGCTGTATCATGTCATAGAGGGAGTCCTCGGTGCTGCGCTGTGGCATGAATCCGTATTGTCTCCGGCTAAGTTGGGGAACAATATGCCATTTTATTCTTTTAATTAAAATTTTTTCCAAGATTTTCCCAAACACAGGTAGCAGTCCAATGGGTCGATAAGATTTGGGATGCGTGTAGTTCTCTTTCCCAGGCTTTCGCAGTACGACTATTACCGCCTCTTTCCATTTCTTTGGAAAGTATGACAGACTGAGGCATTTATTTAATATCGCCAAGAACATTGTCGGATCTAAAGTAATGACTGTTTCGCAGATATCGGCCGTGAGACCGTCGTTCCCTGGTGCCTTTTTTGGGTTGAAACTAGACACAGACCACATCAGCTCCTCCATCGTAAAAGGTGGGTCACATGAATCATCATGTGACCCTTCGTTTACATCTCTTGCTGCCTCTCTCAACAGCCTGTGTCCTGCATCATCCTCCCGAGTGTCGTCTTCTGGGAAGAACGTATCTGCCAAGGTCTTGGCTGATTCCTGGTTCCCCATGGTTTTTCCATTTAGGATGAGGAATGTCCTCCTGCCTCTGTTTTGTGCGACCTATCACTCTATAAATTCCGTCCCACATTGATTCTCGCTCCTGTCGGCAGCAAAAGTTCTTCCAGCAGGAAGTTTGGGCCCTTTTGACTTCCTGCTGGTACTCCTCTTTTGCATTGAGGTACTGCTCTACGACCCATTCTCGACGAATTGGTGCTGCACATGATATTCGACGCTTTAATGTGGAGACTTTCTTCTTGCGCTGTGTTAATTCATCGGTCCACCAGGGCAATCCTATTCGTTTTTTGTTCTTCAATTTGGGTAGATATTTATCACATGCTTCCATTACTGTCTTTGTTATTTCTTCTATCTTTGTTTCGATGTCTTCTCTTGTTTTTATTTTGTCTATTTCTGTTTTGACTATTGCTTTGCTGTTCCAAATCTGGAGAAGTTTCTCACGAAACCCGCTCCAGTTTGCCTTTTTTGTGCTCTACTTCCTGGTATTTCTACTAATGTCTGTCCCAATTGATTTTTCTAGATTTATATCGAATAGGATTGCTCTGTGGTCCGAAACAGTTATTTCTTCAGATAGCCTCCAGTTTTCTACCCTCCCAAGCAGGCTCGTCGAGCAGGTAGTTATATCCACTGAACTAGGGAACCTTTTCCCACCTCTGATGGTATCAAAAGTGGGATCAGTTCCTCTATTAAGTATATGGAGCTCCAATTCGTCGAGTTTGGCGGCCACATCTAGCCCTCTACTGTCCGCCTTCCGACTCCCCCACCAGGTGTTCCATGCGTTCACGTCTCCACCGAGTATCACGTTTACAGTCCCTAGAGCTGCCACTGCCTTTTCGATCGTTTCCAGGTATGGGTCGATTGGCTTGTCGCATTCCAGATAGACAGACACCACTCCCATCTCCGAGGCCCCTGTCCTCAGCTTGGCAACTGCGATATTTTCCGTTGTTAGACTGGGACACTGGGTTACGTTAATGGTGTCGTCGAACAATACAATGGCAGCTTTGATCACTCTTCCACTGTTGGGTTCTCTGTGACGGTTAGGTTAGGTTAGGTTAGGTTAGGTTAGGTTAGGTTAGGTTAGGTTAGGTTAGGTTAGGTTAGGTTAGGTTAGGTTAGGTTAGGTTAGGTTAGGTTAGGTTAGGTTCGGTTAGGTTAGGTTAGGTTAGGTTAGGTTAGGTTAGGTTAGGTTAGGTTAAGTTAGGTTAGGTTAGGTTAGGTTAGGTTAGGTTAGGTTAGGTTAGGTTTTTTTTTTTTTTTTTGTTTAGAGACTGTTAAGTTTTCTTACATAATGCATTATGCTATCGGGATACAAGTTGCATTATGGAGATTGGATCTCTTTAATTATTTAGTTTTTTTAGATATTATTTTGGCAGTCTTTTTTCCTTTGATATATTTTGTTAATTATTATATTTTTTTAATGATTTAACTATTTTGTTTATGTGTTTAGTAAACGTTTCTATAGTTGTGTATTTTTTAACTATGTCTGTTAAATCGTATGGCTTTATTTTTAAGTTATTGCAGATAATTTCATGGTCTATTCTAGTGTTGTTAAATTTTGGGCATTCTTTAATGAGATGGATAACAGTTTGGGATGTGCTTCCGTCACACGGGCAATAATCATTTGGGCTTATTTTGAACCTATATAGGTAGCATTTGTGAAACCCGTGATTACTTAGAATTTGCGTAAAATTAAAGTCAGGTTTGATTTTTTCTAAAACTTTGTGGAGTTCTTCGTATGTAGGGCACCACGTTTTGGTATATGTGCAGTTAACTATGTTATTGTAGTAATCTTCACTCGCAGTTTGTAAAATCTTACGATGTATTTGTTTTATGTAGCTGATAGGAAATTTGGAATAATCGGGGGCTTTCTTTAAGTTCGTTGCTGATTTGGCTGCCGAGTCCGCTAATTCATTCCCGGTTACACCATTATGGGCTTTCGTCCAGATGAATCTTACTGATTTATTTCTTGTTTCTATATTAGTAACGTTGCGGTGTATTGCTACTGCTAATGGGTTCGTGGTGTTTGGGTTATTTAACTCTAAGAGGCTTGACTTGCTATCGGAAAATATTGAAAATTTTATAAGTTTACTGTTCAGAATCCATTCACTTGCTTTTAAAATTGCAAAAAGTTCAGCTTGGTATACAGAACAAGCGTCATGCAGTTTATATTTCTTAACGACGTCTTGACCATCAGAGTGAATAACAACAAAAGCAGCTCCTACACCTTTATCAGTCTTGCTTCCATCTGTAAATATACTTGATGTTGCTGTATCGGAGTATTGATTTATATCCTGTTGGTTTGAAGCTTCCTGAAATTGGATTGTTTTTCTTTGGCAAGGGTGTAGAAGTTCTGCAGGTATCACTGGTGTTTCGAGTTCTATATCTTTAGGAAGATATATGGAGGTTTTACATCGCTTCGTTGTTTCTAAATCTGCACACGTTTTTATTTTAGCTTGTAATGGATAAAGTTTTGCCAGAGAGATTGCAGTTGCCGTGCTTGTTGTTCGAAATCCTCTTATGATTTTAATGGCGAAATTGCGTTGGAGAGAAAGTAACCGTTTTTCTATATACTTATATTTTAGAGCAGAACTCCAAATACTTGATGCATAGCAAACAATAGGTTCTATTACTGCAAGATATATGGTATGCACATTTTCTGAATTTACTCCCCAAGTAGGTTTTATATATTTGGCTAATTTTTGAAATAGATTGTACGATTTGTGTATTGTATGTTCTGCATGCTTTATGAAATTTAATTTTTGGTCTATAATGACCCCTAAATACTTTATTTGGCGGAAGAATTGCAATGGTAGACTGTTCATAACTATTTCACATTTGCGAGCTTTATTGGTAAATGATATCATTTGGGTTTTATTAGGATTAAATCTTAGTTTGACTGAGTTTCCCCACGATACAATTTTGGAAAGAGCTTCGTTAGTTGTAGTTTCAAGATTTTGGGTATCTTTTGAAGACACTATTAATAAGAGATCATCTGCGAAGGCTTGGAGATGACATCCATTGGGTAGCTCAGATGTTAAGAGCTCATCAAGTATCAGGTTCCATAGCATTGGACCGCAAACTGAACCCTGAACGCATCCCCGAGACATATACTTGGTAGCTGAACTATCCGCAAAATCAAGTTTGACTACACGGTGTTGGAAGTAATTTTTAAGAAGATTATATAAGTTGCTAGGACATTTAATAGTGTGAAGCCTATGAAACAGTGCTGGCCACCAGGCATTGTCAAAAGCCGCCTGTATATCGAGTGAGATTGCCAACACTTGATGATTTTGCAATCTAGCATTTTGTATAACGTCAAGCGCTCTTTGGATAGCAGCCGTTGTTGAAGTTTGCTCTTTGAAACCGAATTGTAAATTACTAGTTGCATTAGTTGTGTGTAAGAAATATGTAAGTCTTTTAGTAATTAATTTTTCTAAGGCCTTTCCAAATACATTAATGAGTCCTATCGGTCTATATGAAGCGGTATTAAGTTCGGTTTGGTTGTGTTTTGGGATAATTTTTATATATGCGACCTTCCAGTCCTTTGGAAAGTGGCCGAGTTGCAGGCATCTGTTCATTATTTGAAAGATTGTAATAGGGAAAGTTTCAGCAAATTTAAAACATATATCCGATGTGAGGTGGTCTAGACCAGGTGATTTTTTGGGGTTCATGGATTTCAATGACTCAAGCACTTCTTCTACAGTAAATGGAGCATCTGCTGGCGTGTCGGGTGTTTCGTTAAAAGAATTACGCAGCTGCATGTGCCTTAAGCATGTATCGGGTCCATCATCAGGAAAATATTCATTTAAAAACGTTTCAGCAGTTTCGTATGTTGTTTTTGTGTATTTACCCGCTCTTGTTTTAAGAGTTGAGGGAGGCTGCTTCAAAGGTGTGGTCTTAAGTAACCGATTGGTTATACTCCATACATCCTCCTTTCCCTGCTTATTGCAGAACTCCCTGAAATGCTCAGTTGAAGCAATTCTAATTGCTTGAGCATATTCATTTCTTAAGTTTTCTTTTTCTAGCAACAATTCGGTTAACGGTTTTTTACTGCGTTTCATTTGTTGAATTTTGTGGTGATTTTTTATAACTTTTTGCTTGAGATTTTCTAATTTATCGTTCCACCAAGGTGCTCGATTTGTTACTTTAGACGATTTTCTCGGAAAGAGTTTGTCGCTAACCTTTTGTACTGCTGTGACTAATTTTGTAATGTATTTATCTAACTGGGAGGTGCTTAAATTATCTACATTAATATTGAGGTCTAAATATTTGGCTAACTCGCATTTAAACTGTTCTGTAATTTCATCCCATTTTATATTCTGAGTATTGTATTTAAATGTTGAAAGTTTTTTTGGTTTGCTTAACAAATTGTTACTTAAAGACAAATCAAAAGTGATAGCATTATGATTGGATGATGGGACGGCGTCTAGTACAACTTTCCAGTTGGAAATTTTGTTTGATAGAGAATCAGATGTCATTGTGAGGTCAATTATAGATTCGCGATGGGTTTTATGTGTAACCGTTTCATATGTAGGAACGTTACCTGAATTACATAGAATAAGATTATTAGTAGTTATAAGATCTACTACCATATTTCCGCGGCGGTTGGATCTAATCGAGCTCCACATGGGGTGCCATCCGTTAAAGTCACCACAAATGATGTGAGTGTGATTTGTATGTTTCTGCAGAAATATTTCTAGACTGTTCATTGTATTAATTTCATCCTTCTTGGGTTCAATGTATACACTAATTAGAAATAGTTTTTTACCGCCAATGTCTATTTTAACAATACAAAGATTGGAAGTAGAGTATTCCGAAATACCCAGTGTGCAGCCTATAGTCCGCCTTACAAGTAGGCATGCTTTTACTCGGTGCGCTGTGGGGTATTGATATATATTATAGTTAGGGATAGACTTCATTACGTTGTCTTTTCCAACATAGGGTTCGCTGTTAAACACTATATCATATTTGTTGTCATTTATATATTTAATCATTTCATGCATCGCTGCATACCCTTTGTCAGTGTTAATTTGTAAGCATTTTAAAGGAAGGTGATTTTTTGGATTTGTTTTATTTCCGTTGTTAATAGCCATAGTCGGTTCTGTTTTTGCAGATTTCTATTTGTTTTTGTAAGCGGGGGCAACGTAGCGAAGTAGCACTGTGTTTAGTATTAATATTTAAATTATATTTCTTACAATGCGAAGAACAGTTATAGCAGTCAACTTTAGTTGAATCTTTTTTAACCGGGCAGTCTTTATACGAGTGTTCTGATGATGAGCAATGGGAGCAAATTGTTGTATTTTCGGTGCAGTGTTTCTTTGTGTGACCAAACTGCATACACTTATAGCACTGGAGGTAAGCTGGGTAGTCTTCAGTATGTACACGTTGGTGATCGACGTTTATTCTTTGAAGTTCCACAATTGATCTCCAGATTGTGGGAGTAACCATAAACACAGCGTTATATAAATTTTCGTTTTTGTTTTTTCGCGTAAATCGGTAGGTTATGTCGTCGGGTGATTTAATGAGGCTTTTTATATTTGGATTTTGGTTTACAATTATTTCTTTAAGCTCACTCACAGGTGTGTCCCTGTAGATGCCTTTTAGAATTACCAAAGGCTTGAGCTTCTTGGCTATGTCAGCGTTAACAAGGCTGTCAGGATGGTTTATGGCGTTAAGGATTTCGTCACGCTGTTCTTGATTATCAAACTCAACCCTAATTTTGTGGTTGGACACCAGCTTTACTTCAGAGGGGTTGAAGGTGTATTTTTTGAAATGAATGCTATTACGCCACGCGTTTACGGTTTCTTTAGAGGAAGAGACTTGCTGTTTAGAGCTAACTATTATGGCCGGCTTGGTAACCGGTATAGGTTGTTTCTCAGCAGATTTTGTCGATTTAACAACTTTGGCGTAGGATGGTAGTGATGATGGAATGATAGAAGGTTTGACCAGATCTTGCAGTGGCTGAGTGGTAATTTTTTGTGGTAGTACCGCTAACTTAGAGAACTCTTCCCTAATAGTGTTCCTGATTAATGAAACTATTTTATTTTCGGCTGATGAGATTGAATGACGTAATATCGTTTTTACTTGGTCGTACAATTGTTGCGTACTTCGTTTAATTTCGTCAAGAGATTTTTTGATGTTATCTTTGTTGGTGCGAGTTACACTCCTATTACCATCCAAATTTTGTAGGATCAATTTCGTGTGTTCACTAATATTTATCAAAAACCCATCATTAAGCTCTGGAATAGAGTCGGATCGTGCCTTTTCAAATTCGTCTTGTGTAACGTTTGTTGGATTTTCAGGTAGAGTCAACTCTTCAATCAAATCTAGGCTAGTAAGAGCCTCCGAAGTAGTAGAAGTATTGTGTAGATTTGACATTTATAATATATGTAAATTTACTTAAGTAATAAATAACCCGGAGGGTGGGGAGTCGATTTTTGTCTAAACTAATTGTTTTTATTTACGGGCTTAATAAATAATGAAAAAAGATATAAATAAAAAGAATCGATGTTCTTAAAAAAAAATCGATATAAATAAAAATCGATAGATTCCTGCAAGCCTACTTAAGTAAGACAAACAGGGAGGGTGGGGGGGGGCGATTTTTTTCCAGTTCTATATGTTTTATAAGGCAAATAAGAGTGCAGATGGTAGTTTCTACACTAGAGGGACCTAATAAAAGCAAAAAGAGCGAAATAAATGAAGATTTGAAAATTTTTAAATATTTTAGGAAATTACGATTATGGGAAAACGAATTATGTGGAAATCAATATTTTAACGGTAGAAATTAATTATAAAAACTATGGATAAATACGGGGGGCGGTTAAATACACTATTAACAAAGAAAATTTAAACGGAAAAGGCCACTTTTCAGCCGAATTATAGATGAATACGTGTTTTTATTGATGAATTCACGTAAATAAGAGACTGAAAATATGAAAATTATATATATAACGTTAGGAATTAACCAAGAAAACTATATAGGATTACGGGGGGGCAGTTAGTTACACTATTTAAATAGAAAATTTAAAAGGAAAAGGCCAATTTTCAGCCGAGCTATAGATGAATACGTGTTTTTATTAATGAATTTAAGTAAGAAATAGACTGAAAATATGAAAATTAAATATATAACGTTACGAATTTACTGAGAAAACTATAAGGAAATGTGGGGAGCAATTAACTACACAATTTAAAGAAGATTTGAACGAAAAATACCAATTTTTAGAAAAGTTATTAGCGAATTTATAGTTCGGTTAGGTTAGGTTAGGTTAGGTTAGGTTAGGTTAGGTTAGGTTAGGTTAGGTTAGGTTAGGTTAGGTTAGGTTAGGTTAGGTTAGGTTAGGTTAGGTTAGGTTAGGTTAGGTTAGGTTAGGTTTTTTTTTTTTTTTTTTACTTTTCTTGCTACTACTTTCCTGCAGTACCCTTCTTTCTAGATGTATATTACTGTTTAGTTTTGTACCAAGTTTTTTTTTTTTTTGAAGCCGTACCGCTTACAACTGTTTTTTTTTTCTTTATTACACTATTTATTTATTGACTATATTACTTATTTAACTGACATATTACTTAATACTTCTTTCTATTACAAAACTCGTTCATTGCACTATTTAGATTTTTACTTAAATTTCTAATGTGTATATAATTAGTACTAATTGTATTGAACTAAGATTGCTTTAAGTATGTATATTTTGCTGTGTTGTATACATTATTCTTATATTCTAAACATTACATTTTACTAACTTGATAATATATAAGCTTAATTTTTTTTTCCTTTATAGTTTTTTTTTTCTTTCATGTTTTCGTTTTTATTTTCTTCTTTCCCTTTTTTGTACTTATTTCAATTATCTTTTTTTTTCTTTTTTTTTTTTTTTTTTAAATATATATATATATATATATATATATATATATATATATATATATATATATATATTTACATTTTCTAACTTTATCAATAATATTTAAGATTAAATTACTTAAAGCTTCTTGCTCTTACATTTATTTTCTCTTTAAACTTATTATTAATATTTACAGATTGTCATTTATAACTACTTGTATATGCTTATTTATTTATTTTTTTTTCCCACCTTGCTACAATTATTATTGCTTACTCTACCATTGTACTACCATTTTCCTTACTTATAATTCTTAATGCGTAAAGAGCAAATGTCATAAAGATAGGTCGGCAAGCGCTATCCTCGATTATAATACTTAAATTACTTTTTGCGATGGTCATTCCCATGCTGCATTCAGCTTCAAATCTTCTTCTACCGAAACGCGGGCAGTCAATGATAATGTGCTCTACAGTTTGGTTTACGTTTTCATCGCATGTGCAGCACGGGGATGATGTCAATTTATACTTATACAAGTAGGCGTTATTGCCTCCGTGACCAGTAAACAGATGTGTGATTAAATTATTCATCTTTATATTTTTTATTACCTTATAAGCTATAACCACGTTGGGAAAAAATGTCTTGGTTGTTGTGCTGGTTGTTGATTCTTCATATTTTCTTTGCCAAATTTGAAGAGTTGTGTTTCTGGTGAGGCGCTTTGCATACGACAGTGGGAATTTATCATATTCAGACCTTTGCTTGCTTTTGGTGGCAGCTCGTTTGGCTAGTTCGTCTGCTCTTTCATTGCCCTGGATTCCACAGTGTGCCTTGATCCAGAACAGTTGAATTTGCTTTTGTTTGTCCTCGATGTTTTTTATCACATCTCGAATTTTATGGGCAATTGGGTTCAAAGAGCTTGGATCGCATATGGTTATAACAGCTGATCTTGAATCGGTAAAAATATTTGCTCCTTGGTAATTTCTGTCGGCCACGTACTTTACTGCTTTTAAAATTGCGATCATCTCTGCTTGAAAAACGCTGCAATAGTTTTCTAATTTAAAGGTAATTGTCTTTACTTCAACTTTATTTTGCCAGATCGTTACTGCTGCACCTACCTTTGTGTCGATTTTACTCCCATCTGTGAAAATTTTTACCCAGTCGTTACTTAATTCGTCGATGTCTTTCTGTTCGCTTATTAAACCAAAACTGCGCTGCGACCTTTCACATGGATGGGGCAAATCGTAAGGGCTTATCCTCTTTTCTAGTTGTCTTCCGGGTAAGAGCTCGATGGGCTTTCCTTTCTTGATCTCATATATAGTTGCGTTTTCCTTTTGCCCTTAATGCTAAGGGAAGGGACAGAATTGTACTAGAGATTAGGGAGTTGGTTCTATGGCCTTTGCAAATACGTATGCCAAAGATCTGCGTCATTCTATTAAGTATTCGTTCGATATATCTTTTTTCAGTTGTCTCCGCCCAACAACTAGCAGCATATAGTATCGTTGGTTCGACTACCGCTAAATATATGGTTTTTATAATTTCGGAGTTTAAGCCCCAGTGGGCTTTCGCTGCTCTGGAGACCATTTTATAGATATTGGCTGCTTTGCGACAGACACTATCAAGGTGAGGCTTAAAATTTAAGTTTTTGTCGATTGTGAGGCCTAAAACTTTCAATTGGTCTGAAAACTGCAGTATAACTCCTTCAATTTGTAAGAGTGGTCGGTGGTACTTAAGTTTCTTGGTTAGGATTATTGACTGCGTTTTATGTGGGGCAAATTTAAGTTTGTGTTTCTTGCCCCATTCTGTAATTATTCGTAATGTATCGTTTAAGTCTTCTTCCAATTTTAGGCCATCCGTGTTTGTTGCGACGATCAAGATATCATCGGCAAATGCTTGTACGTGAGTGCCTATATTTTCAGTTGCGCTGAGTAGGGGATCGAGGAGGATGTTCCACAGCATTGGGCCACATGTAGAGCCCTGGATACATCCTTTATTTGTGGGTTTTTTTCAATTCCTGTCCAGCATACCTAAGATGTATTTCTCTATCTGTTAAGTAATTACTAATAAGCCTGACCATAGATTTGTCAATATGTTTGAAGTTAAGTTCTTTTATTATAGCAGGCCACCATGCGTTATCGAACGCGCCTTCTATATCCAGTGACACTACTGCAACTATAGCTTTATTCTTAAGCCCCTTCTTTATTAGGGCAATTGTATCATATAAGGCATCCTCAGTACTTCGTTGCGGAGTAAATCCGTATTGTCTATTATTCATTTTGCCTTCCCTTCCCAGTTGCCACTGGACCCTATTTACGAATAGTTTTTCCAGAACCTTACCTAGAACTGGTAGTAACCCGATTGGTCTATAGGATTTTACCAGGGAGTAGTCTTCTTTGCTGGGCTTAGGGATAACCTTAATTGTTGCTTGCTTCCAAATTTTTGGGAAGTAGCCTAATATTAAGCATTTATTGTATATTGATTGCAGGACTTCGGGTTGCTTTCAAATGCAGCTTGACATATGTCAGATGTTAAGCCATCTGCTCCTGGAGCTTTTTTCGGACTCATATTTTTGAAAATTTCTCTTATTTCTAATTCTGTAAACGACTTGGTTGTTGATATGTCTTCGTTTTTAAGTTTGTTTATTATTTGTTGTATTTCAGTCCTTATTTCAGTCTGTTCCGCATTATCAGTTTCAGGATTGTCCCATGGATAAAATGTATCAGCTAGATGGTTCACTGATTCGAGTACTGAAAGGATTTTTCCACTTGAGTCGCGGAGTAGCCTGTCATGTTCTCTGTTTGAACAAGCTTTTAAAATTCGGTACGTTCTTTGCCAAAGAGATTCTTTTTCTTCTCTATTACAGAGGTTTACCCAGCTTCTAGTTGTAGCCTTTTCAATTGTGCTAATATATTCTTGTCTTGCCTCTAGATATTGTTCTATTACATACTTTCTTCTGCGTGGGTTTGCGTTCCTTATTCTTCTTCTTTTCCTAATCATATCTGTTTTCTTTTCATTTACTTCGTTGTTCCACCAAACAGGATTTTTTACTTTTCGCTTCTGGTTTTTTGTAGGTATATTGTTGTTACAGGCAGTCAATATATATTGGGTGTATTTATTTATTGTTTCTTCTAGCTCTTGTGGTGTTTTGATTTCTTCTATTGACTCGCTAATCATATTATGTCTGCAAAATTCTTTCAAATCCTTTTTCAGATTGCTCCAATTTGCCTTTTTAGTATTATAAATCCTTGTGCCATGAGTGTTGATTGTGTTATTAAAAAAACTCTATTTCAAGAGTGAATGAGACTGATTTGTGACTTGATATTGTGCATAGTGATTCATCTACTTGCCAGTCTTTTATTCGATGGAGTAATGATGGTGAGCAAGCGGTGATATCTATTATACTAGTGCATAATTTATCCATTCTATAAACAGAAAATGTAGGCGTAGTGCCTACATTAAGGATGTCAAGATTGAGTTCCGCGAATGTTTCCATAATGATTTTTCCTCTGCTGTCATCTGCTTTGCATCCCCACCAGATGCTCTTTGCGTTGGCGTCTC